GTGTGTGTGTGTGTGTGTGTGTGTGTGTGTGTCCTCTTCAAAGCCGAATGAAATGAGCTGTCAATATGTCATTTTAAGGTGCTCAGCAGAGGAAGGAATGCAAAAATGAAAACACATTAAGTTCAGTGACACTGCCCGGCAACACACTCACACACACACTCACACACACACACACACCCACACACACACACACACTCACACACACTACAGTTGTCTATAATGTGAGACATCTGTTGATTGGACTGCTCTCTCCTCAACATGAAAACATGCGACACTACCTGGTTCACACCTGTACACTCACATGTACACACACACACACACACAACACACACACACACACACACACACACACACACGCTGACGATGAATCATTCAGGTTTTTCCTCTTCAGCGAAGCTCAACACTCACACCTGCTGGCAGGACCGAAGAGCAGCTGGAAAAGTGACTCTTCTTGTTGCTTCGAGTCCATTTGTGGTCATTTTGTGTCTCGTTTTAATCATTTTGTGTCTTTTTTTTGACATATTGTGCGTCATTGCTCATGTTGTGTCTATTTTTGTAGCTGAAGGTCCAACTCACAAACCTCTGTGTCGTGTTTTCATGATGTACGAGGTGCTGCTGCTGTGACGGTGCACAACATGTCTTAGCTCTGTGTGGATAGCATGCTATAAAAACAAAAGTTACAGTATTTCATGTCCTAAAAACGTTGATAAAAATGTCAAAGCAGCGTATAAAATGTTAGAATTGAATACGCTGCAACACTTGTCATAGTATAGTATGTCATAATAAAAACATCCTTGTGAACTATGTTACAAAAATGTCCTAAAAATGTCAATTTAAAGTCGTGGTATAGTATGTCCTAAAAAAAAGTAATTAAAAATGTCACAGTAGTTCCTGAAAAACATCTATAGTAAAAGTCATTGTGTAGTATGTAGTTCATGAATGTCCTAAAAATGTTATTGTGCATCTCCTGAAAAAATATCAAGAAAAATGTCACATGTGTGAAACCAAATGTCATAATACGCTGTTAAAGTGTCGTAGTAAAGCGCGCCCTTAAAAGAAATGTCATAGGATAGCATGCTGAAAAAAATAAATAAATATGCTGCAGTATGTTAAGTCCCACAAAATGAAAATGTCATAGATGTATCATTCAATGTGTAGTATGCTGTAAAAGAAAAAATGTCATGTATGTTGTTTAAAAAAAAAAAGGTCATAGTATCGTCTCAAAACACTACACATGTATATATTTTAATTTCTCTGTTCATACTGATTAAGTTTCAGTGATCACAGGTATATTCACTTTTGTTGAAGTTCTATGTGTGGAACATTTTTACAAGAGAATAGAATAGAATAGAATAGAATAGAATAGAATAGAATAGAATATCCTTTATTAGTTATTCATGTACAGCAGCAAAGTGACAGCAAGAAAAGCAAGAAAAACACAGCTATAAATTAAAGAGGCAAGTTATATACACTATACATACAATATAAATAAGAAAAACAGAAGAACACAAGGACACTGTCATGTGCAATAAACCTGAGTGCAATTCATCCATGTAAATATTATTAAATTTGTGTGGCTAAATGTCTTTATGTGTGTTTGGTCTGTTGATTATTTTCAATATAATCTTTCGAAAATATTTGTTTCTGATTGTTGAGAAGAGGAACTATTCTACTGGTTGACTTAATAATAATGCAGCAGAACAGAGATCTGACACAGTTTAGGATTATAAGATATTCAGGAGTGTTTCCTCCGCTGCTGTGTTGTGCGCAGCGCCCTGCAGTACCTCCCTCCGTCCACCAGGGGGAACCGCAGAGGTCAGTCGGTGACCACAAACCGGAAGCTGTTTTGTTTATCTGCGGCTACATCCGGTGCCGCCGCTGCTCGGTGTTTTCCATCTGCTCCGGACAGAAACTCTCTTCATTCCCGCCTCCCAGCTTCGGTAAACCCCGCAGACTTTCTCCTCCCGCATCGCTAAAAGCGTTCGGCGGAGTCTCGCTGTGAACCTGCCGGTCTGGAAGTCCGAGCTGCCGCTGGCGGGCTCCGGTGTTAGCTGGACGGTTAGCCTGCAGCCCGGAGCCGCTCAGTCCTCCGGCCGGAGACTCGGCGCTCATTATGGCGTCTGAAAACACGGAGACCAACGCGGCCAACGACGAGGAGAGCGGACCGTCCTCCGAGTCCAACGAGCACGACTACGCGCACACGGCGGACGCCAACTTTGCCTCCACGGAGGCGTCCTCCTCCGCTACACCGGCCGAACCCGAGCAGAGCGCCCCGGCGCAGCCCTCCGCCTCCCTGCCGGTGGAGCACCCGGAGCCGGCGGTGGGCGCCGAGGTGGACTGTCCCGGTGGGAACGATGCGGAGCTTCGGAGGACCGGCGCGCCCACCGCTGCGAGCCGCATCCTTTCGCGGCGGCCCAAGCGGCCGGAGGACAGAAACTGCTGCTGCTGCAAGCTGCAGTTCGAGCGGCAGGGTCGCTCCTTCAACCGGAGGGCGGTGTACACCTTCACCACCCCGGACACCGTGCACTGGGCCTTCCCGGGATCCGCGGTCCACGAAAAGTCGTTCCTGTGCGAAACGTGCGCGCAGGTGATCCGCAGCAAATGTAAACGCAAACAGAGCGGAAAGAGGTCGCTGTGGCTGAAGCCGGCCGCCACCAAGCAGGTGTGTGTTTGTGTTTGTGTGTTGTGTATTTGTGTTTGCGTGTGTGTGTAGGTTTGTGTTCCTGTGTTCCTGTGTCTGTGTGTGTATTTGTATGTGCGTCTGTTTGTGTGTTTCTGT